TGAAGTGTACCCGGCGTATAAGACGACCCCCCACTTGGAGGCATATTTTTCAGGGCCAAAAAATCGTCTTATACGCCGGCAAATACGGTACTTCGCCTTTGCGGTGAAAACAGTCTTGAGTTTTGTCAGTAGGTGGCGCTGGAGGGACACGGCAGGTGAAGAAACTTCTCTTCCCGGTCTAGCGCGCTTCTGTTTTGCTTCTCTTCTTCCCACGGCACTGCTGCCAAAGGCACCTGCATGTGGACATCCATTAGCGTCCTGCCCACGCTGTGCATCCAGGGCACACAATGCCTGTGAGCTCACAGCCCCAGGCCTAGCCCGGTGCCCATCTCACTCCCGTCGCGTACTCAGCACTTCAGGCTTGCACCAACCCTGCAGGCGGTCAGGCTCCTGGCGCTCTGAATCCTTTCCAGCCTCTGCCCACCAGCTCCCTGGAGGGGTGTTTCCTGCTCATCTGGAGCCAGGACACAGGCTGGCCTGGGTTCCCAGCACACTTCACATTACTTTACTCGTTTTCCAACAAGGTTTGAACCCCAGCTCGAAGGAGAGGGCCCCCTTCCAGTTTGTCCCTTCGTTGAATATTCTCTAGAGCCCTCTTTACACCTTCACAGTTACTCCCCTGCTAGTGTTAGTACTTTTTAACATTAAAATTTCCTTCTTTAAATTTCTGTGTGGTTTCTGAATTGTGATTGAACCGACAGATAACATTAGACATTTGTATTGTTTCCATTTTTTGTCGATCCTGGACAAAGCTGCCATGAGCATTTTTGTCTTTGTGTGGACATATGTTTTCATTTTTCCTAATGAACACCTAGGAGTGAAATGGCTGGGTCATGTGGTAAGTGTGTAAGACATTTATAATTGCCGAACTGTTTCACAAAGTGGTTGTACCATTTTACATTTCCATAAAAAATGCTGCTCCGTATCCCCCAAAATGCTGCTCCGTATCCCCACTAACACTTGATATTGCCAGCCTTTAAGTTTAGGCATTCTGGTGGGTATGCATTTCCCCGATGAATATGGGCAATGAGTATCTTTTCATGTGCTTATTGATAATTTGTGTATCTCTTTTTGTGACACGACTGTTCAAAGCTTGTGTCCGTTTTACTTTGGGTTGTCTTATTAAGTTGTCATCTTATGAGTCTTAATGGTGCCTTTCAAAGAGAAGAACTTTTAATTTTGAGGAAGTCCAATTTATCTTTTTGTTTTTATTTTAGGGTTAGTGCTTTTTATTGAGCTCTCCTTGACATATAACATTGTATTAGTTTCAGGTGTACACTATTGGATTTGAAATGTGTATACACTGAAATGATCACCACAATAAGCCATCCATCACCATACAGTTAAAAAAAATATTTGTTTCTTGTGATGAGGACTTTTTAAAGATTTACTCTCTTAGCAACTTTCAAATATGCAATATAGCATTATTAACTACAGTCACCATGCTGTACATTACTTCCCTATGACTTATTTATTTTATACCTGAAAGGTTTGACCCCCTTCACCCATTCCGCCCACCCTCTACTCCCTAAACCCCCCAACCTCTAACAACCATAAATCTGTTCTCTGTATCTGTGAGCTTGGTTTTTGTTTGTTTTGTGTTTTAAATTCTACATATAATTGAGAGCGTATGGTATTCGTCTTTCTCTGTCTGACTTATTTTACTTAGTGTAATGTCCTCAAGGTCCATCTATGTTGTCACAAATGGCAAGATTCCATTATTATTTATGGCTGAGTAGTATTCCATTATATATATACCATATACCACATCCTCTTTATTCCTGCATCCGTTGATGAACACTTAGTTTGTTCTCATATATTGGCTACTACAAATAATGCTGCAAGGAACATGGGGGCGCATATATCTTTTTGAATTAGTATTGCTTTTTTTTTCCGGATAAATACCTAGAAGTGGAATGCTGGATCATACGGTAATTCTTTTTGATTTTTTGAGGAATCTCCCTACTGTTTTCCATAATGGCTGCATTAATTTACATTCCCACCAACAATGCATATAATTGAACCAAGCAATGTTAGATTAGTCTCCGTCAGTCTGGCTGCACCGACTGTGTCTCCATTTTCCTGTCATCATTTAGCATTATCCAGTTTTCTAATTTTTGCCAGTCTGTTACAGGTGTAACAAGTGATATCTTATTGTTTTAATTTGCATTTCTCTGATTATAATGATTGAGTTTTTCATATGCTTATTAGTTTTTTGCTTATTTCCTTTGCCCATTTTTCATTGAGGTTGTTGTCTTTTTATTGTTGATTTGCAGGATTTCCTTATATATTCTAGCTATTAATCCTTTGCCATTTCTTGATATTGTAAATTACTATTCTGTAATCTGTTTATTAACAGATTGGTTTGTCCATGATGTCATTCATTAAATAGAAATTTTTGCCTTTAAAGTAATCACATTACAAAGTTTTTAATGTGTGATTTGTGCTTTTGAAATACTAAAAGTTCTTCCTTGCCCTTAGTTCACAAAAATATTTCTCTTACATTTTCTTTTATTTTGCATTTTACCCTACAATTTTGGGGTCTATTAAACCATCTAGGACTTATCTTTGTATCTTGGTTTAGGTAGGGATTTTTTTTTTGGTCCAGATAGTGAACCAGTTTTCCCAGTACATATTTTAAACAATTCATTCCCACCATTGTTTTAAGGTATCCCCTTTGTCATATATTAATTTCTCAGATATATGTGTCAATCTTTGAGTTTTCTCTTCTTTTCATTAAACAGAAGTTGATTCAACATTTGTGGACTTGTATTATTGCATATAAGTTGTAGAGTACGTTTAGTAGAGTAAGTAGTTCTTAACATAACAATTGAAATTTTTATTTAGAATACATTGAATTTATAGATTAATATGGGGAGAGTTAATATCTTTATATTAAACCCATCCAAGGACAGGGAATGTCTCTTCATTTATTTAGATCATCAACTCTGTTATTAATGTGAAAATTCTCTCCATAGAGATCTTCTATGTTCTTAAATAATCCCTACTTAATAACTTAAATTGCTATTGTGGATATCTGCTTGTTGTTTATTAGTTATAGTTGTTATAGAAAAATGCAATTTTTGTAAGATGACCTTGTATCCAGCAATCTTGCTGAATCCTCTTATTAGTTCTAATAATTGATTCTGTTTTTTAAAAATTAGGTAGTGATCAAATTATCTATAAATGAGTTTTATCTGTTCTCTTTCAATGCTTATACCACTTCTTTTACCCTTTATGGCACTCTACAGGAGTCCTAGAACTATGTTCAATGGTAGCAATGATAGTGGGCATCCTTGTATTGATCTTAAATCTTAAAGAGAATGTGTCTAAAGTGTTTCCATTAACATAATATTTGCTGTAGGTTTTTGGTATATGACTTTTAAAAAATTAATAATTTGATATAATAATAATTACATTGTATTTGCTAAGATTTTTTATTATGAATAGGATTAAACCTTATAAAATGCTTTTTCTGCATTAGGATAATTATGATTTTTCTCCTTTTCTCTATTAAGGTGGTGAATTACAGTGATGATTTTTTCTGATAATAGTGAGCCATCCTTGCATTCCTGGGATAAATACCACTTGATTATCATTTATTATTTTTTAATATACTTTTGGATTTCAGTTTGTATTTAGGATTTTTGCATCTACTAGAGTCTATCTTCTTAGTATTTACTCTAGATTTTAGAATGAATACTTAAGGAAGATTGAGCTTTTTCAATGTCTTCAGTTTCCTCAAGATCATTCCTAGGACCAACTTCTATGCTATTGCTGTCCAATATTTAATTCATGCTTATATGTTTAATTTTACAAATTAAACATTATAGTTTTACAATATGTTAATATTTACTAATTTTATAAACCTATTTCTTTGCTCACTTTTCCTTCTTGCATCTCCGTCCTTCCATCTAGGATCATTTTCTTTAATAATAGCAAAAAGCATTTATTATGTGCCAGGTACTGTTCTGAGCACTTTAAATATATTCTTATTTTAATCCCCCAATAATCCTATGGGGTACAGACTATATTCCTTCTGTCCGTACAGAACAGAACATCCTTTAGAATTTCTTTCTCTGGATCTCAGTTTTTATTGTTTTCACTTTTTTCTTTTTTGGGGAAGAATCTTGCTGGCTAGAAGCACAGAAATTCTTAAACTCATGAGAATGTATGGGCTATCTCAGGGAGAGAGCAAAAGTGGAAAAGAAGTAAAAGACAGAACCCTGGGGGACACCAGAGTTCATATACTGATCTCGTGAGCCTTCCCTCAAGAGACGGTGCCCACGGGAACTGCAAAGCCAGGGTCCAGAGTCAAAGCACTGGAGGTCACCCGATGGTTTCGTGGGATGGAAAATGCCAGACTTTCCCCAGCAATCAAGTGCTCTGACTGCTACACTTCCTTTATCCATCATCTATATCCCTAGATCCAGCCCTAGGAGGACAATGGCACTGCCCAGAAGTGACTAAAAGTTAACATCGCTTTCTGTCCCTCCCTGAAGGAAGGGTGCTCGAGGAGTCAGAGATTAATGTAGGTCACAGCACTGAAGGTCAACTGCTATGTTTCCTACTTGTATCAGGTGTGGCTCTAATAAGCAAGGCTGCCCCAGCCATACGCCGGAGCAGAGCTGCTAGACCCAAGAGCTCAGACAGAAATGAACAGTGGGTCATAAGCAGTGGCTTTAGCTCCCTCTTACCTTCCCATCTATGTGGCTCTGGGCATCCCTTGTGGAGTTTGAGGGTCTATAAGCAGGGACCCTGGGAGGCAGAGCCTGGACGTTGCCTGGACCAGTCAGATTCCATGGCCCATCATTGTGGTGACAGTTCCCGAACAGGAGTCAGGGGCCCAGGTCATATTTTTCTCAGGCCTTTTTCTGAGACATACCGCTCTGTCTTGCCTTTTAGCCAAGGCATCCTCCTCCTTGTCGTTTTAGTCACATGGAACCCTATTTTCTCTCTCTCCTAGAATTAAGAATCACCTTCAGAAAGCAACACATGAAACCATTTTCAAACTGACTTTAATCATGTTTTGCTGCCCAAATACTGTACATGCAAAAGCCATGTGAAGAATTTCCTCCTCGAGGGAATTGGCAAGAACATTGTACGGAACAGCCGGCAAGTCCTTCCCAGCCGTCCACCTGCCACGCGGGAGCCACAGTTTGGAAAGATACCGCACATAGAAAATGTATAGAACACAGATATAAAAGGCTAATTGCTTCTTATCTAAACAGTGTGCTTGTCAGTCCCTATCAGCTATCTCTTTCTTTGCAGGATGCATTTGGAAATTCTAAAAAAAGGGGTTCCTGCCTCCTGTGAATTTACATTCTAAAGGAGTAGCAAGAACCATCAGGCCAACTTTTTCCTAAAGAAGCAGCCACTCTGCCTGCTGAGATGTCATCTGGTGAAAGACATTCTGGTGGGAGGAGTGGTTTAAGAAGGAAAATACTTGGAAGGGAAATAAATTCCCTCTCTCTTCCCATCAGAGAGCATTTCCTTTACACTTCTCAGGTGTTCAACTCTCCCACCGACATCATTCTAGAAGGAGAAATGAGGACCAACCCAGGCTCTTCCGCTGGTGGGGACACTGACCTACACAGGATGCAGCTGAGGTTGTGACATCACATCAGCACCTTGAAAATTGTCCATTGTAGAGACCCCTTCATTATTTTTTATCATTATACAAGAGTAAAGGAGAGAGAACAAACTACAAAGAGGTGGAAGCAGTCTGTTAGGATTCCCCGAGTTCTTGTCAGAAGCAGCATCTGGGTGTGGACGGATGAGGACCTGCACCCAGTGTGGGCACCCGGGGCTGGAAGAAACCAGCCCGTGGAACCAGGTGTCACATGCACCAGGTTTACAACCCTCATCAGCGCCAGATCAGACTTTTAAAACCTGGAGGGAACCGTGGAGCAACTGATTTTGCAGATGAGGAAGCGGAGGCCCAGAAAAGAGAGGAGTCTTGCATGTGGTCGCAGTTCCTGGCAAACTTGATGGACCGGCCTTCGATGCTCTGTAGGCCATTGGCCAATGGGGTGGATGCTGTTGCTTCTGGAATTCCCAGGGCTCATTTCTGTTAGCCACGCTCTCCGGAACCCAGACCCAGGGACCTTTCCCGGCATTGGCATGAACTCCTTGGGGGGCCCAAGGCCCCTGTCCTTACTGGCCAAGTTTCCAACCAGAGCACTGGAAGGTTTTTGCCAAAGCACTCATGCTTTTCAATGAGCACGTGCTCCCAGCCAGTCTAGGCCCTTGAGAGAATACAAGTTTCTCTCTCTGGTGTGGTTCCCTCACAGGCACAGTCATGTTGGGCCCACAAAAGCCCAAGCTCAGGGTTGAGGGGGAGGGGAAGAGTTGCTTTGCTACATGGAAAGATTAAGCCCTTTGTCAGAGAACAAGGTCCTACCATCAGGCAGGCCAACGGAGTTGGTGCCCAAGGAGGCCAAGTTGCTCTCTTTGGCATCACTGACATTGCTCTGAGATGCTCAGGCACTCTTTCAAAATAACCCTTTCCCAGCCAAACCAGGCCACTCTAGCCCCCATCAGGCCTCACCTGATCAGGTGGGTCTCCCCTGCCCTTCAGTCATGATTGTTTTTGTTTTGCCCCAATCTCTTCTGACCTGAGTGAAAGCAGACTTGATGGAGGAGGCAGGGGACAACGTGTCCACATTCCCATGTCCTCCTTGATCATCCAGTGAAAGATAATCCGATACAGAAGGCAGCATTTTAAAGACCCTCTTTACGTGTCAGGGTATTGGAGAAGAAAACGCTGAGGAGAGGAAGAGAAAGGTAGGGGTCGACAGGGCAGTGGGCCTCCTCTTCTTCATTTCCTTGCAGCCACTGAAGAAATACTGCTGGCCAACCCCGTGGCCCTGAATGACGGGCCATCTCCCTCCACCCCGGTGGAGGACAACTCATTACAACATCAAGCAAAGGCAGAAATGTCTTGCAGAGTTTGCACAGTGCAGGAAGCAATCAGAGAAACAGAAGAGCAGCCTTACTGAAGCCCTGCTGCTTTCTGGGCCGAGGAAGATGGGGATCGGAGGTATTAGGAGCTCTGGAGCCCCAGGGGAGGAACACAGGTCTCCTGGGCAGCAGGGCGCGGAGCAGGAGCCCTGGTGGCATGTCAAGGCTCCTGGTAATGCAGTCTAAGATTGTGCTACATTTTATTTCCAAAGAAGTACCCTCAGAGGGCTCTATTGTCTTTAAAGGCAGGGGCGGAGGTGAGGGGAGGGAATTCTGCTCTCCTCGAGGCTGGCAGTAAAGAAGAGCTCAGGCATGCCTGCCCTGGTGGGTGTCATGCCCCTGGGAGAACTGGCTTGATCTCAGTGTCTAACCGGCTGTGATCCCAGGAGTTGCATGGGCGCCCTCTCTCTGGAGCTTTTAGGTCCTGCCTCGGCCAAGCCTGGCCATGCCTGAAACTTTCTGCCTACCAAGAGCCTCCTAAGTGCTCTCTCCTAGAAGAGCTGAGTGGTGGAGCAGTTTTGGAGGAGGTTGTGATCCCTGAAGGATCACATCCCCCTTGTCAAACCAAGACTTGGCCCATTTAGTGGAGCCGGATTCATACCAAAGGCCCATCACAGACTTCCCTGTAGGGAAGGAGTCTACGAAGGAAGTGGGACAGATTGAACAGAGCAGACGTGTGAAGACAGATGCTCTGAATCATTCATCACGGTCCCTGCCCACAGCCCGGCATCGCTGCAGGGCCATTTCTGTCTCTGCCATATCTTTCACAAATCCTTCCTGAGCAGAGGAAGATGGAATGTCAGAGAGCCCCAGCCTGCAACCAGCTCCTGGTTTCACCTGGGGTAAGGGGCCACTTAGAGCCAGAGTTGGCTCCAGTGAGTTGGTCCCAGGTTGGGGAGAACTCAGGGAGGATTATGTTGCTTCCATCCCCACCATCCTCTCTTCAAAGGACAGACGCGCCCCACCCCAGGAAAGGCCAGGAGTCACACTTGAACTCCCTCCTCTCCTGGGACAGACTAGCTCCAGAGTGACTTCTCAGACAAGCCCCTACGTTCGGGATGCCGAGAAACAGACCCATAAATCCAGCAGCCCCACACGACTTCACCCCCATGGGGGAAAATCCAGGTGGGGGATTAATCACTTATTTGGTACAAAGGGTTAAAAAGAATAATTCCCAAGGTCTACTTGGGGGTGGGAATTACTTCCCATTAGGGAGGTGGGTTCGTGGAGTGGCCCCACTCCTGGGCAGTTTTGGCAGTTGGGGATTGCAGGCATCTTAGCCCCAATTACCAGCACGCCAGGCCCCGCCTCTGGCTGGAACGTCCTCTGTGCTAACCAACTGTCCCACAGAGGCAAGGGACACCAGCCCCTCCAACTACCCAGCGGTAGCCTCTCCGCTGGCAGCTCCCGCCTTCTCTCATGGTCTTTCGGGGCCCCTGGACGAATGAGGGTGATATCTCTCAGTGATATCCCCCATTCCCTGGGGGTGACTGCATAGTCTGGGGATCATCACTTGGTGCTACATCAGCAGATGTCTATACTATCATGAATAATCCCATCACCCCAAGGTGTATTTTCACACCATCCTGAGGGTGACCTCTCTAGAGGGGAACACATCACAAACAGGACATAAAAACACCCCTTCTGTGAGCAAGTTTCCGCCCTCTTCCCACCCTGGGATCAAAGGGTACACAGCCCTTTACTTCATTTCAGAAACATGAGAAATGCATGCACTACCCAGTCCCGACAACGGGAGAGAGTTTCTGCAGAAAGAAAACAAGACCCAGCCACCTCCTCCCCCTCCTCCATGCGCCCTACGGTTCTCATCTGTGATACACGAACAGAGGTTCCAGCAGGAGACAGGAGCCCAGGAGCTCACCGTGTTTGTTTCCTTACTGCCCGGATTACACACTCTATGTCTGTGACCGCCATGGCATACATGATCAGAGTCACTGCAGCACTGGGGATGATGTCTGGGGAGGAGGCAGAGCCTGCCCATACCTTGACCCCTCCGGCCACCTCTGTCCTCCGCACCAGACATGGACCCACGGCCTGCTATGTCTATCTCCTGGGCAACCTCTCACCTTTCATCCTAGACCTGAGGAGGGAGAGGGACAAATCTGAGCCTTCCTGAGCCAGACTTCAGGATTCCTAGTAGACATCTCACGAGGTCCAGTCCAGGCACTGGTCTCCACCCACAAGGCCCAGCTGTAAGATCAAGTCAGGGTCTGAGTGGATTTGGGAAGCTCCAACCATACAGGGGTAGAAAAAAAGAAGAGGCAGTTTTGGTGCCTAAAGCAGGTCAGACTGCTCTCCAGAGGGCAGTGGTGGAGCGCAAGGAGGCAGAGAGGCTGAGAGGGGTGAGTATTGCTTGTACAGAGCTGGTGACTGTGACAGTCTAGAGTCCAGAGTCAGGATGTCCGTGGAGCTAGGAGGCTGGAGCCCATGAGTCTGAGCTCCCAGACAGGGACCCTGGTCTGGAAACAAGAAAGAAATAGAGCCCCAAATGATCAACATCATGCAGCTAATCCCCAAAGCTCAGACAGGTTTCTCAACAGTGGCTCAGAGCAAGTTAGCCCCACTCTCCTTATTCCAACAAACAGCCCTACCCTCCGCACCTCCTCACAAGCCAGGCCTCACCAGGATGAGCCCAGCAGGGGGCAGGGCCATGCTTAGGGCTTAGGGAGGACTCAGGTGCCTTCAGGGACTGTCTGCTTTGGCAGGTTACATCCTCTCTGAGACCAGCTTCCTGGATGTCAAGACCCTCCCGTCCACATCACCTGGGGGCCACTGGGAGAACTCCTTTGGCATGTTGGAGGGGAGGGGGCTTGGAGGAAGACAGAAGGTGAAGAGCAATGCTAAGGGAGGTACTGGCAATTCCCTCTAAGGGATCTGGCCAACAACCCTGGAAACTAAGACCTCCTCATGTTTTGCTTGTAGGAAGGAGGTGGCTCCAGGCCAAGGGAGGAAGCCATCTCAAGCCCTCAGCTCCCCAGGCATCTCTGCTCCCCAGAGCCCTGGCCAGGGTACTAGAGGAGCACGCTACATGTCGCAGATGCATTCAGTGGGAAAAGCTGCCAGAGCATTTGGGTGGGGGGAGGGGTGTCAGGGTTCCCAGAGGGGCCTCAGTGTGGCCAGCTGTAGTGGACGCTACATTCCTCAAAAAAAAGCAGCAGTGCTGGGAGAGGCAAAGGTAGAACAAAGAACAGGACAGAAAACTAAGCAGGGACCATCAAGAGGAGCACAGGTGGAGACACGTGGGTTCTGCCCCAGGCACGGGAACAGGCAGGATGGACCAATGGCCACATCCCCCTCTTCCATCCCTGGACCGAGGGGGAGTCGTATCCACACAACAGTCCTTTGGGTTTCTTTTCAACAAGACACAGAAAGACATGGATTTCAGTTCATGTAGTCACCAAGACAGACTATAACCAGACAAATGAACAGATAGAACATGGTCACACACAGACACACATACACACACAAACACACACGCACACGCACTACAGTCTCCACTGCCAGCTGGGATGGGCCCAGTAGCCAACAGCATGCAGCAGGGCAAGGGGGCCAGAAAGACCTGACTATGTACAGGGGAGGAGGTGGGGGACCAGCAGGCACCCCTTCCCACACCGCGTCCCGGCCTCTTCCTGAGGTCCTTAGGGGCATGAGGGGCTGGTGGCACTCTCCAGGGAGGACTGGGACAGGCGCCTCGTGAGGGATCCGAGTGTAGAGTCTGCCACGGAGGAGGTGGGGAAGAGTTTATACCAGCCGGTGATGGCGGCACTCAGGTCCAGCTCGTCCAGCATGATCTGGGCCATGCCCATGAAGCACTTGTGATCCATGCGGCCGTAGTCTCCCCAGACGATTACCTGCCGGTGGGGAGGAAGGGAGAGGAGCTGAGCGACCTCCCCAGCTCCGGGGCTGGGCGGTGGGTCCAGGGGCCTACAGGTTTCACCAGGGCACAGATGGGACAGAGAGCAGGGACTCAGACTGATTTCGAGGGACAACTCACTGAGCCTTTAAGAAGCGCCAGGCTCCATCCTACGGACTTTAAATACATCATCTCAACGGTTACAACCATCTAGGCAGAGGTGCTATGTATTATTTCCAGAAAGAAAAAACTGCCACTCAGAGAGGCTAATTAACTAACCCAAAGATACACAGTAATTGGTGGCAGAGCTGGACTGGAACCTGGGTCTGACTTCCAGAGCCTCCCAGGATCCCAGCTGACAGCCATCCCCAGGAAGGAGCACACTAGAGTCCAGGACCCGGGTCACAGCTCCCGCTCTTCTGCAAGCCTCTCGTCCTCATTGGACCTCAGTGTTCCCACCCGTAAAAGTGGGCGAGGGGACTAGACTAGCTCAGTGATTCTTAGACTCGTGTTTTATCGGTGAATCGTTTTCTCAAATGGAATTCCAATATATATACATACATACATATTTCCCCCATAGAACCGTAGGGTTCCTCAGTTCTTACTGTTTGCAAAGCCAGGGGCCCCTGCTATGGACCTCCTCAGCCCAGAGCTCACACAGCCCGGACAGCCCGCAGCTCAAGCCTCTTCTCTGCCACCTACGTGGCCTCAGGCAAGGCCAACAGCCACCACCACCACCGTTAAGACTTAGCGAATCGCTGTCTGTGTGCGACACACTATGACGCCCTCTACATGCATCTCTCCTTTAACCTTCACGACATATTACAGCCAGTAAGTGATCGGGCTGGAACTTGAACCCAGGACTGAACCCAGAGACTGACCGCCACTGTGCTCTAGCCCCATGTAACTTCTTGTGTGCCTCAGGCACTTTATCTACAAAATGGGCATGATGATGCCACCCTCCCAGAACTGTGGTGAAGGGTGTTGTCACTCTCAAGTAATTGGGGTGAGAGTCACCCTGACCTGCGCTCGACTGGGCTCTGCAAATCGCTAGCTGAAACCTCAAGCAAGTCGCTTCATCTTTCTGAGACTGCCTCCTCATTTGTCAAATGGAATGGGGAGAATCAGACCTGCTTCACATGACTGTCTCAAGGATGGAGCTAGGTCACGACTGGAAAGCACCTATCCCAGAGCCTGGGGTGGAGCCACTGCACAATAAACACCAGCACCAAGTGGAAGGAGAAAGCGGAGGTCAAACAAATCCTGCTTCTTCCTACCAGTGGTGCAACCTGGGGGGCAATTGAGTTACCCGTCCCCCGCCCCCCACGGAAGCTTAGACTCCTTATGAATCAACTGGGGGCCAGAACGCCTCACAGGTTGTGAAAATAAATAGGCAATGTGTATTAATGCACCTGTTAGTGCCTGGAACAGGACAAATCATAAGGGAAACAAATGTCAGGTTATGAATTGCCGTCTTCACGAGTTACCCTGTTACACTCACCTGCAGCACCTTGCCTTGCGGTCCCTCATCAAAGAGCAGAGCCTGCTGGTACAGGGGGTCACAGGTCTTCTTGGCCACCTTTGTCTTCTTCTTGGCCAAGCAGGTCCCGTTCTCAAGCAGGTAAGCCTTGATATAGGTGGCTGAGGGATAGGGGAAAGCATGATGGGAGGGGTTCAGAAGAGACTAAGTGATAGGTAGAGGTACAGCAGAGGCTGCTATGACCTGCCCCATCCCCAGCCTCCACGTGACCCTGGAGGTGAGCAAGGTGAGCAGGATGAGCTGACCAGTGGACAGCAGGTGGAAGAGATGACTGAAACACTGACTCCTCCATCCTCCCCTGCCCCCACCCCTGTTCACTGGCTTTCTGGGCAAGCCGTGACTCCAGTATCGAGAATACTGATTTAGGCCACTGGGGAGCTGAGGACTTGCTAGACCCCAAGTTCATCTGCATACTCCTCCCTGGCAGGACCCCATTTCCAAAATCCCTCTCTCAGCTGCTCAGCCTCACCTGGGAGGGATTTGGAGCCAGGTTTGGGGGTCAGACCCCGAGCCTCAATCACTTCCACCTCCAGCTGGCCACTCCGGTCCATGATGGCGATGTGTACATCCCCTGCAAGGGAGAAGAAGAATAGCTCAGGCAGAATCAGACCAGGGGCAGGCCAGCCAACTGCTGTGCAGAATGCCAGACCGCAGAGGATGCCACAGCATTGGAAAGGGCACAAGATGGAGACGACTGCATGTGTAAGAACTGCCCTGGGGAGGCCCCTTTAAAGATGCTGGGAAATGCTTTGCTAAGTCTCTTGAGGTGGGGTAGGGGCATGACCCTCCAGGGACATGCCTGGGGAACACAGATGGCTGCCAAGCTCCCATTTAAGTCTGGTTAACTGAGGGGCTTCTGTTTTACTGAGCAGAGTAGGCGAGTTGAAGGACAGAGCTTCCTGTGCCAGGAAGACAGAGGGAGGCTGTGGGCTCAGTGGCTTATTCACCTTCTGCACAGCAACCCTCAGCCATTCCCCTACAAAAACGTCTAACAAATATTTAAAGAATATCAGTGTGAAGAGATGCTGCGAAACGAGCCTGCCCAAGACCGCGAGGCACTCCCTGGGAATGAGGGCCTGCTTGCACCCGTGCTGAAGAATAGAGGGAAGGCCGGCAGACTTCCGGGGAGCGGAGAACTGAGAACTAACTGAGAACTGCTACTGTGCTCCCACAAAATGGGTCATCCAGCTGGGGCAAGTGCTGTGTGTGGTCTTATCAGTTATCTGACTTCTTTGTCTTTCCATACTTGCAAATATGGGGATTTATTATTTTCAGGAGACAGTTTGGAATTCATCTCCTCCCTCCAGCTATCCCTAATCTTCCCATGGGGAAGGGGGAGGGAGATGTCTCAGGAATTAATCTCCTCCTGGTCTCACTGACCTTCCTAACATGGGCAAACGCAAACCTGCCCTTCCCAGTTTGGGACACCAGAGGGCACCACATGCGCAGTTCCAGGCTGTGATGGCGCATTTGCCTTCAGGACGCGGCCGGCTACTCTCACTGCCTCCTAGCCTTTGGCTGGGCCTAGGGCTGGGAAAAGCAGACTCCCCAGGCCCTTCCGAGTCTGAAAGCAAGGGCTGGGAATTAGCCGAATCCAACCCAAGAGGCAGAGAAGAGCTGACGCTCACCCTCTGAAGATCCCGGTGGAACCCTCTTCCAGCGGACAGAGGCTCCTGTGTGAACACATTTGAGGAAGGCAGGGCAGTACAGTGGGAAGAGTCCTGGCCTGGAATGAAATCCCAGCTCCACTGCATGGCTCACAGCAGGGCACTGTCTGCACTCAGCTTCCTCATTTGTTGTGAGGTCTGCAGATGTCTGGGTCAGACACTGACTTCCTGCTCCAGTCAGACTGATGGGGAGGGGGCTGGAGGCGAGGAGGCATCTCTAGGGAGGCTGGGTCTGGGAGTTGCTGCTTGCAGCCAACACAGCCAATATGGAAGGGAGAGAGAGGAGGGAGCCAGAACTGCAACTACGAGAGGACCAAGTATAGATTTCAGGAAGTACTTCCTAGCTGCAGGGAAGAGGGCCGAGAAATTACTAAAAGGCATTATTACAAGTAGGTAAGACACAATTCCTAAGGGGTAAGTGCAATACTTCATGCAAAGCATCGGAAAAACTCAATACGTTGTTGTTGGATTGCAGAACTAAGGCAGGTATTATTATTTCCATTTTACTCATGAGGAAATAGGCTCAAAGAAGGGACTTGCCCAAGGCCACACAGAGAGTTGGTGATAGAACAGACTCCATAAAAGTTAAGGCCATGATGATTTTCATTCACCATTTTACTTCCAGCACTTAGCACTGTTGGGCGCACAGTAGGTGGTGGGGGGGGGGAGTGTGTGAGTGTGTGTGTGTGGGGGTGAATGAGGGAGGGAATGTGCTGGAAAAGTCGCTGCAGGATTGCCTCCCTCTCTGAGGAGGGAGGGACTGATGAGTGCTATGCTCACTCCTTCTCACTGGCACAGAAACTGAGTGAGGGCTCTCATCTGATGCTTGGGTCACACAGGGCCCCCACTGAGCTCACCTTTTCTGCTGCTTGGCTGCCATCACCCTACTCACCCTGTCCTCAAGAAGACTCACCCATTGGTGGGGTTGCCAGTGTCTGTCGCCCCACAATCTGGGCTGGTCCCAGCCCATCCAGGAAATCGCTGAACTGGCTTTCGGGCCCGAGCCGGGTAGTGGGGAAGATGAACCTGGGGAAGAAGGCAGAGGGCATATGAGGAAATCTGGCTGGTGGGGATGCAGCGGCCCCACCTCTGGGACAGCGGGCACGCCCCTCTGTGCCTCAGTTTCCCCTCTACATAGTGAGTGTACTACTTTAGCTGGGGACAGACAGAACTCTTCATCTCTGCACATTAAACTACTTTGATGTCGCTTGAAGAAAGAGACTAATCAACCTATCATAATGATAGTATTTAATCTTCAAGAGCCAGGATTCCTAAGGTGACCCTTAAAAGACAGGACTTGCTGGACCCCTGTGTCCTTGCCAGGGGATGTGAACACCAAGAACCAGAGACATAGGCCAGAAATTTCAATGCCTGGAGCAAGTTCCAAAACTGAGGTTCCGTTGACCCTACATTTGAAATCAACTCACTAACTTGAGGTGGTGCCCAAAACAGCAACTGAGACCAAAATAACACAATTATAAATGGGTTGAGATTAATGATGAGCGATGGTAGGTGGTCCATGGTTGTGGGGGGCCTGGAAATAGTAACAAGAAAAACTGACAGTGATTGAAAGTTGGCCAGATGCCAACAGTGCAATGCTCGACATGCACCATATAATTTAATCCTTACAACCACTCTGTATAGCAGGAGCTATTATCCAATTTTACAGACGAGAAAGCAGAGGCTTCAAGAGGTACGAGATGTGCCTGCAAAACAGAGATGATGCCCAATTCATGTAAGGTTTTGGTGAGAATTAGGGCAGATGGTGCATGAAAAGTTCCAGATAAACAGAAAACAATAAATGGTAGTTATTTTTGTCATTGTTATCATCAAGGCAAAAGTGCTCCTTGTTCATGTCCTCAAGCCTAGGTGTTCTGGGTATGGCCAGCAGAGAACGGATAGATGAGGGAGGGCTGGCCCAGGTCTACTCATGAGCTACATTGGACCAAAGAAAGTCCTAAAATTGCTCCTGGAACAGCTCAGGCTCCTGCTAAAGACCAAAGGTTGTCCCAGAACGAATCCCCTGTTGGACAGTTTGGCCTTGAGTCCCCCTTTGCCAGTGACAGGCAGCGAGGTGACAGGCAGCATATGCTGTCAGAGAGGGCCTGCGTGTCTTTCCCCCACTCCCCAGAAATGGGCTTTAAAGATCACCCACTCTTAGTTGCCACAGTCACTGATAGCCTAATATCGCATTCTTAGGACAGTGGGATCTGAGAAGGTTAAATAAAGAAACGTAGACTCTGGAGGTCACAGAATTTCAGGAGCTTGGTATAGAGAATGTAGAGATTGTGAACAAAGGTTATAAAGTCAGGTGGTATTAATTCAAATCCTGACTCCACCATCACTTAATGGCTGCGGCCTTGGGTCAGGTATCTCACCCTGCTCCCGTGCCTCAGTTTCTCAGGTAATACCAACATCCCTCAGGATCGTTGTGTTAAATTATAGTTGGTCTGATAGTGGCTGGGTAGATCCCAGAGTAAGAAACACTAATCTGAAGTGTCCAGTGACGCCCTGCATATGGTAAGACACAATAAATACCAGTAGCTACTCACATTCATGGACCTAGGCAGAGTAACAAGATACATGATCATAGAATCTTAAATAATGGAGCTGGGGAATCCTGAATTCATTGCATCTTAATGAAGCCAAATCATAAAATCTTAGTCATATAACCATAGTTCCATAATTTAGAGGAGATCCGAGGGAATAGCTAACACAGCGACTTTCCAATTTTTGACTGCAGCCCAGATGCAAATATAAGAAATACATTTAATGTCATAGACCTATATGCATCCATACATTTAAAAAAAAACGGAAACAAAAGTTCACAAGGTAATTCATCCTTACTTTGTAAGATACATTTGAATTTCTATTTCTTTTTAATGCTGGTTTTCCCCCACTAAATTGATTTTATGTCCTGCCTATGAGTCACCACCCACAGTTTGAAAAACTGATCTAGTCCAATCTCTTCCCCTAAGCTCCAAGCAAGGCTACCTGTGAGAACTCCATTTATCTGAGCCGTAACAATGGTTTTAGATTGAAAGTATTTCAGAGCCGTGTTTCCCTTTTGAACCCTCCCCTCTGGAGCGGGCAGTATGTAGGTGCTGGGAGGCAGGAGGCATGAAACACAAAGGAGGGATGAACTGTTCCTGCGCCATGGGGGTATGTGGATCAGAAACAGCAGTCTGGAGCGATAGCAAGACTGGGGCCCAGGGACCGGATGTCCAGAAGAGGATGGAGGGAGGCAGCGACACAGAAAAACCCAGACATATGGGCTGACAACCCAACGGGAGGCTTTCCTGCCCTGCCCTTGGCTCAGTGACTAGAGGACACAGGAGGAGGGTGGGGACCACAGTGGGGTGGGCGGCACGCACGTCCCGTCAGAGCTGTTGCTGTTGGTGCTCCCGTCGGTGGACTCCCGGCTGCCCTGGCGCGTGACGCGACTTCGCATTTCCACCGCGATGCCCGTCTCGGTGCTCCGGCGGATGTTGCTGCGCAGCTTCTTGGTGGACCCTTCTGTGACCCCCGCGAAGCACAGAAAGGGAACAAGGTCAGATCACCAATGAGACTTGAGAATGCTGCCCAAAGTCACCCTCTTGGGAGGGGCATGATGGGCAGGGCTGTGACTGGAGGCAGGGGCATTGCTGAGATGACCTCCAGAGCCGGTCTGCAGCCTGACCCTGGCTCTGTTCAGGGCAGTGACACAGGCAGAGCAGACTAGAAAGATGGCTGGAGGCAGAGTCTGGATATTGGGGCTGGGGGAGGGGAGTGGAGTCACCAGGTAGAGACTCCTCTCTGCATGAAGTCCTGGGCCCCCACCCTCGTCCTTGCCAGGCTCCCGACTGCCACCTTCTCACTCCACTTCAGCCCTTGCCCCAAAGGGCTGTGTTCCTGCCTCTCTTTTCTGGAAAGTTGGCCATCTGTGGGGTTCCAGATTTGCTTTCCTTCGTGTACCCTATCCCACTCAGGCCTCACGTTCCAGATTTGCTTTCCTTCGTGTACCCTATCCCACTCAGGCCTCACAAACCACCTCTCATGCTTTCACAGGCCCTATAAAAACCCCGTGTGAAGCCTAGCCACTCTCAAACTGACACGCATTCTCAAGGTGGATCTGGACATGGAGAGGTCATTAGGAAAGCGAGACTGAGAGAGAGACAGCTAGGTTGACCTGCATCGACTTTGGTTTTGAGAGAAAGGTCTCCGTAAGAACCCTAGAAGCTGTGCAGAGAGAGCTCATCCCTGTGTCACTGTGCTTCCTGTTCAGAGGGCCCTTCTACCCCCACCCCAGCCCCTCTCCTCAGCCTTGCAGGAAACATGGGGCACTTTGCCTCTCCTAGCAGCTGCACCATCCTGCCTGGGTTTCCACGGCAACTTCCTCAGCATTGTAGTGTGGTCCCTCTAGACACACTCTCCTCCTGGGGCGGTACTGGGGGAGCAGAAGAGGGGTGAGAGTTTACAGGGACTTCCCCTGCTGAAGCTTGGCTGCCTGAGGAGCTTAATGGGGAGAGAAGTAGCGCTCAGCTAGGGACTGTACCAAAGGAGCCATTTGCTGTCGCTGGTTAGAGACCCAGGCAAATTAAGACTACTGGGGTGGGGCGAGGCTGAAGGTGGGGCAGGCAGCGCAGTCCCCACACCCAAAGCAGTGGGGAGAGGGGAGCTGGTTACCCTGGCAAGCCCCTCTCCCACCCACATCCAATGGTGGATCAGGGAAGGGATGTTTAAGATCTTAGCCCAGGAAAAGGAGGGCTTTATTCCTCCTGCTTTGTCCTATTTATCCTTCAGGAAGTCCCACTGGGAGAGGAAAGGCTAAGAGGGCTAGCATCACCAGTGGACGTGGACAGGCTGGCGGGCTGGGAGTGGTGAATGGTGAGGTGGAATGTTTTCTTTGAAACCACCCCAGCTTCAGGATATTGCGATAGCTAGTTATCCAGGAATCAACGAGACCATCAATATGTCGGTCTATCTCTCTTACACACATGGTCACATGAACTCATACATACTTCTTTCACATGAGAAGACACACAGAAGTGCTGACAATCACATTTATGAAGATAGTGATCTCACATACAAGGTCACGTGTATGTTCATACAACAGCCACCAATGGTCCTACCACCAGGTCTTAGTCATGTATACATACAACATACTCTGCCATATAAATGTGACTTTCATCCAATAACACTTGGAGTTGAACCCATCCACTCAATCACACTCAGTTAGGAGACAGATGGGTCTGTGGACACTGCACTTGACCTTCCTTACCCTCGAATCCCCCCACCCCAACACATACCCTGAGCTGAAGCCAAAGCCTGACCACATGATCCCAGTTTCCACTCTTCTAAAGCTTGGGAAAGTTTTGACCCATTTAGGAGAAAATTTTACCTTGATTAGACCTGCCCAACCCACTGTGGGTGGGGGAGTCACAGAATCCTGAAATGTTACAGACACCTTGGCTAGCTCTCTGCTCCTGTCATTTCATAGATGTGAAGCCTGAGGTCCAGGCATCCATAGGGCTGAGGCCACTGACTTCCAGTCTACGGATGTGCTACTTCTTACTCCCCTCCACCAGCTCCACATTGGTTTGAGGTGTGATTCATCAGAGATTAAATTACATGTCTTCTGGGTGGGGAGAAAGGTATTGCAACCTAAGAGAAAATTCCTCTACTATTTCATGACTGTTCAGTCTCTAAATCCTGTTGATCTGGGAAGTAACTTTATGCAGCCTCTTTCTCTACAGAACCAGGCCAAGTTGCTTGTAATGATTCTGTGGTCCCTGCAGAGTGAAAGACTCCAGGAACCATCCCACTTGTCCCACCACATACAAGGGAGAGGCAGTTACAGCTCCCAACAGTACTCCCCATGGAATGATCCTGAGCCCTCTCCCCATCCTGACCCAGAGCCCAGAGAAGGAGGAGCTGCTGTCCTTGGTACTGAAAAGAGGAGCTCTGTTTGGGCAGGAGCTGGGACAGCCCAGAATGGCCCCACGTGGACACAGCCTAAGGCTAGGCCAGAACCTACCTGTGTCCAGGGACCCCAATGCCCTGACCCCACCCTCCTCACTGCTCCCACAACTTAGAGAATGTTAGATCTAGAAGGAAACTGGAAGAGAGTGTTTTTAGCTCTATTTTACAGAGGAAACAGGCCCAGTGAGAAAGTGACTTTCCCAAGGTCCCATGAGGAGTTAGAGCCAGGACTAGTCCTCTAAAGTTTCAGGGTAAGTTTTTGGAAGCCACTCTAAGGCAATGTGAGGAGTAAACTGGAAAGGGCAGGCCGGAGACCAAAGAACTAGAGGGAAGGCTGGTGCAGGCTTTGAAACAAAGAAGAGGGAATGGGCAGAGCTCAGGCCAATGCAGGGTATGAATAAACTAGGAGGAAGGATGCCCCTGGGAAGGCAGACCCAGAGCCCAGAAGGCTGGATCCAGGAGAGGAATTCCTCCCCACTTCACACAGCCCAGCCCTGCAGGGAGCTGAGTCATTGCACCTGCAGACAGAAGTAGATACTTTGCTGAGATCTTTTCCCAGAACAGAGTTCCCAGGGCTGATGTCCACAGTGAGTCAGCCCCATACACCCCTCTGGGGCCAGACTCTCCCACCCAGGATGGGGCTCCAAGCTGGGACACTGGCAACCTCAAGGCCTGGGAGAAAAAAATGGGGACAAGGAATTATAGATGGGAGAGGCGTGTGCTACAAGCAAGGGGCAGAGCTGTGAAGGCCAGAGAACTCCAGTTATTTTTTGGCCCTACTGTGTGACCATGGGTAACAATACTAAGGCTATACAAGCCTGAGTACCTTTGCATCCCCTGTCTCATTTAATCCCCTGGACAGCTCTGCAAGGCATGCATTATTGTCCTTATTGTCAAATGAGGCTCACTCAGAGGGGTGCCTGAGTCACGCAGCTAGTAAATGACAGGGCGTGGCTGTGAAGGCCACCTTGAAGTTGTTCTTCAGGAAAGTGCCTTCTCTTCAGCCTCATCGATAAAATGAGTACATCGGACTGGATGATCTCAAGGGGCCCTTACTGCTCTGACATTTGGTGATTGGATGATTCATAGAGACCTTTCATGAGAAGGGCATCTGGGCCATCTCCCTGGCTCAGGCTCCGGGCCTTCGGCTGTGCCCTTGCATACCACAGGGACAAGTGACCCAGAAGCCGCATCTTCACTCATCTCCCCTCGAGGCTAGAGATCTCCCTAGTGTCCACTCCAATCCCTGCCTGCTGATTGGCGTCTAGGTAGGTGGACAGCCCCAGGCAGACCCTGGCCTTGAAACACTGTCCCTCCCGATTACTTTGGGCATGAAGAAACCTTTGGGTCTGGAGCTGACTCAGCCAGAGATCAGCAGGGCTTGGTCTCCTGAAGCTCAACACTTCCTCGATCTCTGAATCTTCATCCCCCAACCTTAATCCCACCCCTTGGTCCTGTCCCAGCATAACTCCTGGATTCCTAGGTCCCCATCTTCCTGACTCCCTAGTGTCAGGCCTAGAGTGCATATTCATAGAGGCCATGCCCACCCTGGGCGCACTGATAACCACAAGCCCCCTCCCCATTTAGCATGTCCCTGAGCCAGAAACCACACTGCAGCTTGAGTGCTAGAAAAGACCGTCCCAGTGCTCCTGTGCAGGGCTTTGTAAAAATCTATTTTAAGGCCTGGAAAAGTCCCCCACCCCCAAGCCCAACTGGGAGTCTTGATGAGCATTCTCCCCAGATCCTCCGGTGTCCCCACCCCCTCACCACCCCCACCCAGCTGCCTATTTGAAGGTTTCCTGGGGAAGTTGTTACTCTGAACAAAATAAGCAGGAAGAGATTTTAATACACAACCAGCTGGTGTCTGGGCTGATGCCACAAAGTAAGGAGGTCTTGGTGGGGAGGGCTGACTCCTCCTGTGATGTGGGGTTCAGGTGTGACTGTGTGTGACCAGGTGGGTCACCCACCAGTCTGAGCATAATAGGGATTCCATAACTAGGTATCTGAGAAAGTCTAATATATTTATCAGGATGTAGCTGTTAAGGTGTGTGAGTGTGGTTTTTTGTGAGGTATGTGTGTACAAATATGCGACATGTTTCTGTGACCATGGCCCATTGTGTGTGCATGTGTAATGGTGTTTCTGTGATCTGGGTCTGTCTGTATCTGAGGACTGTGTTTATATGATTTGTATGACTGGCTTTATTTGTGACCATATATGGTGTGAATGACTGTATTATCCTTACCTGGTAGTAGGGCGGTGGCTTACCTGAGCAATGGTGCATGCTATTTATATGACCGTGCAGTGCGTGTATCTTTTTCTGTGTATGTCTCTCTTGTAACTTTGTCATGTATGTGTGTGACTGGGTAACAACATTTGTGTGGCTCTTTGTACTTAGGAAACTCGGAGATTACAGATGAGACTGAGTCTTGTGAGTTTGTGAAGCTGTGTCACTTAGCACAGTGCCAGGAACACGATGGCTGTTTAATAAATATTTGATGATTAATGTGTAAGTTTGTGCATGGAGGCAGCAGAGTGTAACGGTTGGGAGCTCGGTAATGATAATGAATTCGGAAGCCCAACCACTAGGGTTTGAATCTAGGATCCACCACCTACTAGCTGTGTAGTTAGGGGCATCTCACTTCTCTGTGCTTTAGTATCTGCCTCATAGAGTTACATGAGGATTCAGTGAGTCACCACACATACAGGGCCTAGAACAGCGCCTGGTATATGGTAAATGCTACACATAAGTGTTTGCACACCTATAAGGACAGTCACTGGGTGCCCTATTGTTGCAAGGGGCTCCACCCCACCCCTTGGTGTCCCATGCCCCCTCACCAGGCTGGGGGAGCTGGAGCGTGCTCTTGCTCCACTGGGTCAGGCCCACAATGGCCACCATCTTGGCCCCAAGGCTGCTGCGCCGCTTCTTGGCTGTGGTGGTTCCCGTCCCACTCCCAGCCTGCTGGGATCCGCAGATTTCGCCACTGATGCTGGAGCTCCGAACCACATTCCTGGGGCCTGTGGCTGAGGCCGGACTGGGCTCCCCGTTAAACATGGTCCAAGGAGCAGCAGGGCCTCAGACAACTCTGTGGGGAAGACGAAGAGACAAAGGGGTCCCACATCAGACCCTGGGGCCACTCTACTGTAGTCACCATTTCTTAGCTGTGTGACCTTGGGCAAGTAAGTCACTTGGTCTCTCTGAGGTTGTGAGGATTCAATGAACAAATAAATGTAAAGAGAGGATCAATAAATTGAACTATTCTTATTGGCACAGGACCGCCCTGGCAAGTGACCTGTTTTGGTGGTAAAGACAAAGGAATCACATGGCTCAGTCTTGAATTCCAAAGGTGACCTTGTGATCAAACATCTTGGGGTTTCAGCGAACACCTCAGCAAAGCAAGAAATAAGCACTTACCTCATTGGATTGCTGTAGGGATTAAATCAGTGTATATGAGAGTGCCTAGAACAGTGTCAGGCATAGAGTAAATATTCAATAAGTGTTAGCGATTGTTATTTTCATAGCCAATAAGACGAACGGGGAGAGCAAAACTGGCTCCAGCCTGTGCAGACTGTAGTAGGGGTCCTCTTGCTTGAAAGGGATGGTACAGCAAGGGATAAAGAAGCAGGCAAAAATCACCCTTACCTGCACTACTGAGAGGCAGCCGTGATAAGCATTTTAACCAAATCCTCCAAGTCTCTTTTTTTTATGCATTTTTAAAAATAATTGAACTCATACTACAAATACAATTTTAAGCCTTGGATTTTTCACTTAACATTATATCACAAGCATTTCCCAATGTCATGAACACTTGGTATAAGTGTTTTAATGCCACCATAATATTTCATTGCATGGAGGTAGCATAACTGACTTAAATATTTCAATAGTTAACCTCTTAGATCAGGTTCAACTTTCTTCTCTCTCTCTATCTCTTTCTCAATCCACCACTTCCCTCCCTCAAGACTCCTCCCCCTTGAGAGGGTCCAGCCCTAGGATGAAGCCAGTGTTTCCGAGGGCAGAACGCCCCAGGGACAGAAAGGACAGCCCGAAGCCTGCCTTTCTCTGGCCTTCCCGCTATGTGAGATAACGTATTAATGTTTTCCTTTGCTTAAGCCAGTTTGAATCAGGATTCTCTGTTACATCCAAAAGCATCTTACCTGATACCAAGGGCATAAACACTTTTTTGATTTTTGAAATATATTGCCAAATTCCTTTCCAAAGTATACAAAGTGACTCTCCCCACTAACTGCATTCAACAAATATGTAAGCCCCTAACATTCCAAGGCCTATATTGAGTGCCAAAGATACAACAGTGAGCCAGGCCAAATTCAACCTGCCCTCCTACAGCCTCCAGTCCGGGAGGACAGACAGATAGTAAATAACTAATTATGCAATTAAATATTTAATGACGGTTCCAATGAGTGGTAGGGAAGTGGACAGAGGGCGCTGGCAGCCACTGTGGGGGAGCCGGGCAGCAGGCATCTATGCTCTGTTTTGTAAAGAGGTGGGATCTCTGGCAATGGGCCCTACAGCTTGGCTGAAAGTCTGATGCTCAGGCCGCGTATCGGAGAGACGGCCACTCGGGCATGCTGCACCCAGTCCTTCCTGGCTCTGTCCTGTGCTTTTCCCAGGGCAGCTCTCCATCCCAGGGCTCAGGGCACTGTGTTTGACCCTCTGCCCTTAGGCCTGTGACCCTGAGGAAATCCAACTTTTCAAAAGGATATAGAAAGGGGCACAAAAATAGGGGTGGGAAAGGGAAGGGACCCCTCCAGCTAATGAGGGAGACAGTCTCCAGACAGCGGAGAACAGCCTCCTGGTCTCCTGGTCAGTGTGGCTCCGGCAGGGCTGGTGAATTAGGGCTGACAGTGGGGATGAGTCAACGCTGTATTTTGCTTCTTTGTGGTTGTCTGGACTGTTCTCGCTCACCGTGTGATGTGTGCATAGCCCCGGATTATATTTCTCTATCCATCCCCCATCAACCTTGCAGCTAATGGAAAGTCCCCTGGACTTGGGCCTATGATGATCTCTTCTTTTTACTTTCCAATTCTAGTGCCAGATTGTGTGTTTTTGTTTGTTTGTTTGTTGGGGGGAGGGGGGCATCTGCATGGGCTTTTAGTGGATGGTGGGAGAGCACTTATCTGATACTTTGAATCTGCTACAGTGTGAACCTAACTTACTCTCGAAAGTATTTCTGTGAGGTGTGTAGTTATCTCCATGTCGCAGATGAGAAAATTGAGTCTTAGAGATGTCAAGGTCTCGTCCATTCTACTCAGCTAAGAAGTGGCAAGGCCTGGACGCGATCCTAGGTCTCCTGTTTCCACAAAGAGACAAGCACACTGTGCAGCCCCTGCCCCTTCAACCCAGAGTCACCCACAGATGTGGGCCCACCCCTCCTGCTTAGGCTTTGCCTTGGGCCTCTGGGCTCTTTGAAAAAAGTATAAAGAAGCATCTAGTATAAGAAACACTTCTCTGGCCCAGGTTCCCACAGCTGGCGTGAGTATGAGGAGAAACTGAGGTCCCACCCAGACCACACCTGGAGAAGCAAGTACTCCCCCCGAGGAGCCAGCCTATAGGAAGCGTAAGAACAGCACTCCCAGGGGACAAGAAGAGAAGAGGGTAAGGGACAAAATTCCTGACCCTGCCAACTCAGGGACTCATGTTTCCTCATAAATAATGAATACAACCGACAAGCAGATGGTTTGATATCCAGGACTCTGCACCATCCAGAGCCACTTTCTCATCTTTAACTACCCGCAGGGCCTGGGAGGGCCCAGCCTGTCTGGCCAACCCGAAGGGGATAGGAGGAGCCAGACCCAAAACACTGGACCCACAGAGCTTAGGGCCTGACCCATGGCATAGGAGTCCTGGGTAGGTAGTCTAGGAGAGTTAAGAATCAGGAGGTGGGATTGGAATGCATACGGATTCCTTGTGTCACCTTCTCTGGGTCTTGGTTTCCTCATCTGTATGTAAAACAAAGGAATCCGATTAGGTGATCTCGGTAAGTCCTTTAGACCAGGAGAGCAGAGTCTGTAAACACATACTGCAGTGACAGGCTCAGAACTGGGCTCTTGTTGCTTCTCTGGCAGCCAGTCTAGCTCAAGAAGGGCAAGACAGAAAGACAGACAGAGTCGGCCACCTGGCCCATCTGAAGAGGGAAGTCCTACTGCACAGCAACCCCTGAGCCATCAGACCACAGGGATGGGAAAGGGTCAGCAGGAAGAGAGGGGGCAGAGTGGTGAGGCTGGCAGGACACAGCACACAGCACCTCATGTTCCGGTGGTTCTAAAGGCTACCAAGTGAACTACATCTTCCCACAAAAGTCACTTCGACAATTTCCTGCCTCTGAGCAGGACTGTCTGTCTCCTAGCCCAGTTCAGGTCATCGCAAGGAAGGGAACTCTGCCCCGGCCTCACTGGGTCACAGGGACCTCACTGTCAAGCACTCCCTGCTGACCCCACTCTACGGCTCAGTAGCATCTATGACTTTAGCTCGGATTTACCCTTCAGGGAGGAAGCCATTGCCCCCACTCCTGCCAAAGCTCCATGCCAGCAGATTCCTTCCAAGATCCCCAAGGAACAAGCTTAGTGTTTTCTTTCTTGCCCTCGATGTTTGGCCTCTACCCTGGGGTCTCTTTACCCCAAAGGCTCCCCAAACCCTCTCCTGAATCCTGACAACAGCAGATCTCAGAGCTCTGCCAGTCTACCTTGGGAACCTGGGTCCCTCTGACCAAGTGTCTAACCAGATAATGAGTTTTTGAGTCAATGAGACCACCCAAACATCCAAGATGAACCTACCCACCCACCCTTTCAATAGGGAAGACCAAGGAATCTGTCACAGGGTGATGGACTGTTAGGTTGGAAGGGATGGCAAACAAATTCTTACCACTTCTCCCCATCCTCTACCCACAGTAGACATCACTAATCCATCTCTTTCCCATCGAGGCAGGTTTAACCTCAGAATCCCTCTCAACACTGTGCTCCAGCACCAACTGATGAGAACCTGCTCAGGAGTTAAAACTGATTTGCCATCCGGGGCCAGCCGAGTGGCGCGATGGTTAAGAACTGGCTTGGGATGCCAGAGGGCCCCGGTTCAGATCCCACATATGAGGGCCAGTGACACTGCCCTCTACAGCTAAGATGCTGAACAACAGCTCAACCTGGAGCTGGGCAGCCGTGAGTCGCCAGCGACGGTGGAGGCTGCAGCCCCTGTGGCAGTGGGTTGCCATGGGCTACCGTGTATAGCCAGCAGCCAGCGTGAGCGGCCAGCAGCTGCAGTGAGCGGCCGTCCGGAAGCCGGCGACTGATCTGCCTCGCCCGGGAAGAGCGCAATGATGGTGCCAACTTGGGCCAGTGAAGCAACGTCCTCCACAACTAGACTGAAGAACAAAACGACAGCAACTTGTCTGTTCCCCTTCCCCCAATTCCCCCGCACTGTTCCCATTTCCCCAATTCCCCAATAAAAATCTTTAAAAAAAACCCCAAAAACTGATTTGCCATCCCTATTCTAGCCTGAGCCCAAGGCCCAGAGTGGGACAGGGACACACCCAGGGTCACATAGGAGGTTGGTGACAAAACCAGAGCACTAACCCGTCTTCTAACTCCCAGGTTCCACCTTACCTGTCAGGTGCTTCCTCCTTGCATCTCACCTTAAAGAGAATCCAAACTCACCGAAGCCGATGAATCTGAGCGTGGTGCTCCGCATCACAGGGGGCTGTCCCCTCCCGACAGCACTCCCCTAGGACATTAACACGAGGCTTCAGTGAACTTCTGCAGAGACACCACCGGTTTTCAAGAAAGGGGGTGAAGGCAATCAGGGTAGTTCCCAGGAGGAGGTGATGTGATGAGTCTGGAAGGAAACAGGGGCACTTAGAAGAGGGGCTAAAGAAGACATCTGTCCTCAAAGGCTTCCAGGAGCTTGTAGAGTAAAAAGACATAATTGGAGATTACTGTGTGACCTTGAGCAAATCATTTCAACTCTGTTTTGCTGTTTCCTCCCTCCTAACATTGTCCAAATTCCTGGCTCCCCTGATCTGTCTTTCGGAACATTAATGTCAAGTCGCTGGTGCTGAAGCCCCACCTACAACTTTTAAACACACAAGGGACTACTCATCCAGGTCCAAATTCTAAGGAGCGCTAGATCCTAGTCTTCCTTCCTCTGTCCTCCCCTTGACTAGTGGAGTCTGTGTCCCTCCCCAGATACTCTGTGACATGCCCAGTAGTCAGGAGTGAGTGAGTGTGTGTGTGTGTGTGTGTGTGTGTGTGTGTGTGTGTTGCTCCTGGCTCCAGCCCCAGCCATGTGACCCTGAGCAAGTCACTCGGCTTCTCTGAGCCTCCATTCCTCTCCTATAAGATGAGTCTACTGGCCACCTGGCCCCAGCCTGACTCTCCAGGCTACCCTGGTGATCAGGTCAGATACTGAGGAGCAGAAAAGCATAGTGATTAAAAGCACAGCCTTTGGAGGCAGACAGACTTAGTTCAAAACCTAGATCTGCCACTTCCAAGCTATAGGAGTCAGGGAAATTTCTGTAATAAACCAAGCCTATCATGCCTCATCTCTAAAATGGGAAGAATGATGACAGCCTTAGGATTCTTAGATGAAATAGTACAAATAAGGATTGGTAACATGCTAAGTGCTCAGTTGGGCAATGACATTATTGCTGCTCATAATGGTGCCTTTGTAAACAGTAAAAGACTATACAGGTGTTAGCGCTTATTGGTCTGGGTCACATACCAGGTGCAAACACTCCTTGAGAAGGCTCAGAGATCAAAGGGGTCATCTCCCAGTACAGAGAGCCCAGGGAAGTGTGGGAGTATGGCATCTGGGTGTGTGCACCTCAGTTGGGGTGGGAGCTGCCATGTGAAGCTGTGCTCTTTCTTGCCAGCACCTCATCTCCTGGCCATTTGCTGGGTGCTGAGCCTGGCATTGGAGAACCCTGCCCTGACACTGCTCCAGCACCAGGGCTATCCATCATATCATCCATGCCACTCTGTGCCCATGTCAGAGGCCAGTGCCTGCATCCACAGAAGGGGAGAGGGGTTCCCTTGTTTCTAACCTTTCCTTTTCCCCTCCGGGACATATGAGTGGGTGACAGGGCTGGTATGTGGTGGGGGAGGTAGGCTGGGCTGAAGGAGCACACCCAGCCTGAGTGGGGAACACTGTGCCAGCTCCTATTCTGCTTGTGCAATCTTTACCTCCCTCAAGGAAGGC